AAACAAAGATTTTTTTGACAACTTTCGGAGTAAGGTTCCTACAAATGTTCCAATATGACCAATATGACCAATATGACCAATTTAACTTACGCGACTTTTAGCACACGCTTCGGCTGCGTGAGATATTTGCCAAAGAGGAATCAGGAACATTAAAATTTTGCAAATCGCCTACACCTTTACTACTTTGAAACATGATTTTTTGACCGTAATATTTATTTTTCTGACCACTAAATTTCCCAATTAGGTTTCAAAATAAAGCATTTTCCTTTTTTGCTTACACCTTAACCACTTTGAAACTCTCATTCTTGAAAGGCAATTTCCCTATGGATTAACAGAAAACTTTTAGCTAAACTACATTTAGAATTTCAATAAACCGCAAAAATTTTGAAACACGACTTTCTTTTTGCGTTTGCTGATCTAATCAGTATTGAAAGAAGATAAATCACAATATTTAAAAGTATAAGATGCCAAAGCCTTTTTTCAGATCAATCCAGACCAATCAATCAAACCAGAAATTTTACAGCTCTAAGACTAAGCCTAAATCTAGTCAAATGAGCTCAACGAGTGCCATTTTTTACTCCACAAAAAGCCTAATTTTCCAAGCCAAAAGCCCAAAAGCTTTTCTCTTGTCAAAGATGTTCTTCTTTATTGCTTGCGTATTTTGAGAATGTAGATATGCTTTACAGGATCTTTGAAAGACCTGGTAAGTCTAGTTTTTATATCCAACCCCGAATATCACCTAAGCTTTCACATCACACAGTCATTTTTCGTAGCCAAGGCAAAATTGAAATCAATCCTAAGAGCTCAGACTTTATCTTTCTTTCCTTTTCATCAGTAATTTTGGGCTGGAAAGAGTTCTTAAGCTAACTTGTAAAATCAAGAAATCGATTGCAAATAAATCAATCAATAAATGGCTTCGATAAATTAAGTTTCAAACTTGAGCCACTTTCTTCCTAAGGCTTAAGGTAATAAAATTAGAGAAAAAGGAAAAATTGTCATTGTTGAGTGGATTGAATGAATGACTGAATAACACAGGTATAGGTAAAAATAAAAATCTGTTTCTCGGAAGGTGAGGGGTTTTTCCTCCTTTTTGTGCAGCTTTCATTGGTGGGGGTGACGGAGTGTTCTGCCCCAGATCCTGCTCTCGGCCTGACGACTCATCTTTCTCTTTGTCACACGCTCTAGTTCGACGAACGATGGCCCCTTCGTTTGTCGATCCTTTCTTGTTATTCATTCTTAGCAAAAGTATTTGAAAACCGCAACATAAACTCAGACGCTAATTAGTCCAGGCTGTCAATAATATTCGTCCTTATTTGTTCTGCTCCTATTTCCCCACCAAATATAAGAAAAAAACTACTAGCAATAAGACACTACCTGAATAAGGAAAAATAACAAAATTTCATTTAGCCTCGGCAAATGGTTTGCGTTTGCGTTAAAAATTATTGATTTGCAGAAACGTCTAAATCAGAAAGTAGCCGGAATAAAAAATGATTGTTTGATCGATAAGAATTCTCTTAAATGCATATGCAAATTTCAGAAATAGTTTTTTCTTTGTTTTCATGATTTGTGTTATTCAAGTATTGTTGTTTTAGCAATAAAAGGTTGTAAAGATTTTGATACAATGCTTTTTCAATGCTTTAAATGCTGCAATGCTTTAAAATTAGTGCAAAAAACGTGTTTAAAAGTGAAATTATTTTCTTACCTGGGTTCATAGAAAATATCCCAAAGCCCCTTCATTGAAACAGCTTGAGCGAAAGATTGGGTAGAATATTACGATTATGCTAGGCATTTAGAGTAAGTAATTAAGGCTTCAAATAAGTCACATGTGATGGTTGTGCAAGTAGAGTCACGAACTTTATCGGTTTTCATATTTGCTGGGGCCAAGGCCATCGGGAACCTAGAACCTCGGTATTAAAAAATAATCTATATTTGGCTTGAACTTTGCTCGTTTTAAGGATGTTCAAAGTTTTCTATGTCTAAAAAAATTTCTGACATTCAAATTCATACAATCTAGTACAACCATTTTCCTACTCACCGGATAATAACCCCCTCATACGCGGATCTCATGATCCCGAATGTCAACACTTTGATCAGTCGATTCTCACCAACTAAACAATTCCTTGCCGCTAAATCTCGATAAATGAAACAATGAGAGATCAGGTATTTGGCTATCTTTTGACTATAAAATATTGGCTATATTGGATATCTTTTGGCTATAAAAAACAGATGCTTTTGAAGTGGAGTGTCCTAGTGACGATTTTTGAACCAGCTGCACAACGTTATGCTATTGCAAAATCGCTTGCTGTTTTTGTGGATTTGAATTCAAAACTGAAGATTAAAACATCATTTTTAATGGTTACAAAAGGGATGTTTTTATACAAGCCAGCACAGAAGCATAAAGCATAACTCAGCTCCCATCAAAGATCCAAAGTGTAACGAAAACCAGGACGAAGAATTATAGCTGGACACCAAAAATTCGAGAAGAACGGCGAAGAGAAGAGCGAGACAAGAGGAGAGCAGACGCATTGCTTGTGTTAGAGCTAGTTAGAGCTAGGAACTAAATAAGGACGATAAAGAAGGAGCTTTAAAGGAGCTTTCTAAAAGCTAAATAGGGATAAAGGAGCTTTAAGAGAAAGGAAGAGCAAGACAAGAGGAGAGAAGACGTATGTGTTAGAAGCTGTGAACTGATGGCAGATCGAAATCCTTGTCAGTCCCAATCCTATTTATATTTATATCGAAGCTGGATTGATAACAACCTAAAACAAAAAATCGGATTCAAACGATCAAAAACGTGAGCTGAGAGGGACAAGTGATCACGTGGAAATTTTTTGAAGCAAACTGATTAGGGATGTGTCCTGTGTCTTCGAATCTTTTTGCAAAATATTTATGACCAGCATGTTGGGTCGAGATATGCTTCCGGTGTGCGTTGTTTTTCCTTGCAGTTTAGTTACAGTCAACAAATAAAATCGACCAGTTTCTTAAATCGATGTTACAACCTTGTAACCATACTTATGCCGCACTCTGTACATGATGGTGAAACAGTCTTTTAAAAACTTAATCCGGTTTCAGCTTGCGCGCCTCATCACACAAGAAACGAACCAACCGATCAACGTCTCATTCCTGAAATAAGAACGTTTGAGCACATTAATAGCAGCCTATTTCAATTTTGTTGAATCAATATCTATCTTTCTTCTCACAACATTGAATTTAAAATTTACCGGCACGTATATCATCCAGCGTTAGTGGGCCTAAGAGCGCCTAATGACATTTTCCTAAATATTAAAATTAACTTGGCTGCTAGGCTTATAACAATGCTATCTTCCACAACTTGGATCAGGTACTAAGAAGAATTTACTTTTGTCTCGTTTATAGTCCCTATTTATTTCCTACACTCTTTCAAAGCTGCCTGAAAGCTCTTTCAAAGTTTTGTTCACAGTTGACATCTAGCGTCTTTTGGTAAGGACCGGTCTTCGTGTAAAGAAATATTATGTGCGCACTTGGTACTCTTCACTCAAGCTTCTTCTTGAAAGATTATATAAAATGATAAAATAGTTGATAGAAAAGTTTTTATTAAGTTTCCCACGCGAAAATAGTCTTATTTTCGTCTTTGTAGTCTTCTCGACAAAATTTTCGTCTCTTGCATTGAGCCGATGAAATGGTGGAGGCACGCGTTTCTTCTTGAAAATGGAAGCGTTTGGAGTGTTTTTTGCTGGTGTGACGAAAGCAAACTATCGAGTTCTAAAAAGAAAGATTAAAAGATAAAAATTAAAATGATCTCATAGATCTCTGATAGCTTTCCCCAAGTTAAAATCCCATAAACTCCAAGTTAAATTCGTATTCGGAGATTCAAAGGAACCGTATTGGAACCGTATTCCGGGTTCCGATACGGTTCCAATACGGTTCCTTTTAAGATTCCAATATTTTAAACTTACCGGATTTTTCACCACTTACCCTCAAATAGAATGCGATGTGGCCGGCTTCTGTTCATCGACTGACCCTTACAAGCTTTCGACTGAAGTGGCCGGTCCAAAAAGGTTTATGTGGAAGAGACTGTTCAAGCAATGGGCCCGACTTTTTGTCATTTTGATTAGCCGTGTTTGGGGATCCATAAAATCCCAAAAAGAAAAGCTTTGTGGAATCTCTCAAAAGCCATTTTGTAAAGAAATGGTCGACCATTTTGATGCAACAAAACGCGTATTTAAAGAAGGTTTTATGGTTGCAAAAAGTTTCTTTAAATTTCGGCGCCGACTCAATCTCCCCAACCCAAGTAATCAAAAGGGGAGGCGCTAAAAGTTCCCAAACAGCTATTTATTTTAGAGCCCGTCAGTTTTGCAACATGAGGGCGCGCCTTGTCGTGGAACGATAAGATTTTCTCGGAAAAGCCTAAACTTTGAAGATTTACTTCAAAAACTCAAACAGTAAGAGTTTCCAATCTTTGATCCAGACATATTTTTATAGCGTTGCATAGGTATTTTAGTAACAAAGAGGAAAACCCGTCCTGTCCAGTGTCTCATTCTTTGAATCTTTGTTAACTTATAACTATGATCCTCTTAAAATTAAAAAAGAAACCTTCATGAAAGGTTGGCCAATGTCTGGACGTCGTATTACAGAAACATTTCTACCTGGAGTTCTCGTTAACACTATTAACATGCAAGCTACCCAACCTAAGCCTTTTATCCATGTTGTACAAGCTCAATATCTTCAGGCAAATCTCCTTTGTCAAATACTGTAAAAATTTGAGCGCTCATCTCTTTCTTGAGAGGAACAATTGTTACCGAGCCATGTGAAACATAAAACCATTCTTTAACCTAGAAAAAACAAATTGAGCAACTCTGAACCCTTACATCAGCATTCTCCTGTTTGCAAAGTGACAAAACAAAACAAACAAACCAAAAAAGAACAAAAATATTTATCAGGTATATAAAATAGCGCAAAAACAAATTAAGCAATAATGAAAAACAACAAGGAAAAAAATTTATATTTTAAATTAAAAATCTCTAGCCGTTGGTCTGCGTGTCCCAGAATAATGGCTCGTATGCTCGGAGGAGAGCCTAAATTTATTAGTAAAACACAACAAACATATTCTTACCTGTGGGTCTACCTCTTTAATCTTTTCGACGGTGTATTTGCACAGCCCCACCAGCTCATTTTTCACGAAAAAGAGTTTCATGATTTTCTCGATCTAAACATTGTTAATACGCCAATAAACTACCCGCTTCATACCTTGATGCCTCGATCGAGTAAACATGATGGTAGAGAAGTTGGATTCTTTCTTTGCAATGAAACATTTGTGGACGCTTCGTGCTAGAATTGATCTATTAATAGCTAAACTTTAAACAAACTCACATTTTTGACTGCTCGTGGATCAGCTGAAGTGGGTGGAGAATTCTCTATTGAAGCACCCGTAACATTGACCTAAAAAGAATCATAAATTAGCTTTGAAAAACAATCCACCTGTGGAAGGGCGGCAACCAATGCGGGAGCGGAGGAGACTGAAAATAGCTATTGAATGGGAAATTGAAAAGATCTTACCTGGCAAAACTGGTGGAATGTTATTGGCACCCAACCTCTCTCTAATCAAATCCAGGCGATCCCTTCGAGCCATCACTGAAAAAGTCATCATAATTTTGCTGAATTTAGGTTTCTGAGTGGATAGAAGCCCTCGAAACAAAATAAACCCACTTTCTTCGATTTCACATTTAATTTAGCATTTACCAATAAGATTCTTGTCTACACTTTTCTTGAGCAGCGCAAATGTCTTTTGAAAACTGAGCACGCTAAAGAATATGTGAAATGGCTGAATTCAGTCCAAATATCGATGCATTTTCACACTTTTCCTCACGCAGAGTCATTTGCTCGCTTTCTTTATAACCAAAGCACTTCACTCAAAAGTCATATCTTTTTACGATTTATCAATATTTTTTATTTAAAAAGCTTTTGTAATGTTGATAAGATTTATTCCAATTAAACCCACTTTCTTCATTAAATCCTTGAGCCATCAGACCCCACCATGTTCGTCTTCTGAAAATAAAAAGATGTCATTGGAATTGATATTTGTATGACTTGCTAAAGTCACTTTTGTCATCAAAACTACTTTTTAGGTTAATCTAGAGCAATAACCATTTCTCGTTGTAAAAACCATATCAAACAACCCAATAAATTGCTTACTAAAAATGACTCCAATAAACCATAAAACCAATGAAAAACGAATTAGAAGCGATCAACGTAGATAAAGCTAAAGATAATCCAGAAAAAATCCTTGAAGTATAAACTTCCATTGAATCTAAGAACTGAGAAAGTGTTTTGAAGGAAATATGCATAAAATTAATTCTGAAAATTTAAAAAGTTGAGTGCAAATGATTTCCGATTTGCTGAAAATCTTGAGAAGATGCCCTCATTCACTATTTGAAGGAAGATGGCGAATTCCAGAAGGGGCAAAACAATTGGTCGTAGCTCGATAATCACAAGGCTGATCTGACTCCACCAAGACCTTAAGGTTAATTTAGCCTTTATCAGTAAGATTCTTGTCTACACTTTTCTTCGACTCCAAAATCACAGATCGACTCCAAAATCACAGTGGGGAAAGCATCACAAAAGAAAAATTTCTAAACAACTAAATTGCCATAGGGACATTTCCAAAGCTGCTAAATTGCTATAGAGACATCTCCAAAGCTGCGAAATTGCTATCGAGACATTTCCAAAGCAGCTAAATTGCTAAAGAGACATTTCCTTTATTTCTTTCTCAGAGAAACATGAATTCGACTACAAAAATTTGCGTCACACAGGTGACCTTTTTCTTTTTCTTTTTTTCTTTTTTTTATATTCAAGTTCAAAGACTCAACGAAAACATGTCGCTATGATTGTCTTTTGATCAGAAAATTTTGTAATCGTGAAATCAAAGTCTAAAGTTATTTGACGGCGAATAGAAAACGTTTTTCAAGGAATTGTAAGGAATTTTCGGAAATAAAAATTGAATTGTCTTGATGGCCCTGTTGTGAACGTTTCTTGATGGCCCTGTTTCTTGATTTTTTTTTTCTGTATAGATGTGATCTGAGATGAAACACGTTCCCAAATAGAAACCGACTTTTGACAGCCCTAAATTGAGTAACGATTTTAATCTCGACGGCTTATTGAGCTTACTTATGATTGGATTTCAGTAAACCTTAAAACACTTACCGGAAGGAATTGCAAGGAATTTTCGGAGCATTGGAACTTCTTGCAGTGTGTTTGTCGAGCCAATGTCGAAGCAAAGCTTCGTTCTCAAAACTAGCTCTTGTTCCCAATTTAAAAATCAACAATAAATGACCTGCTGGGCCGCCCTTTCATTTGCTCTGCACAAATCCGACATTCCATAATGGACATTCCATAGTGGACTCATGGATACATTTAGGAATTCCAGTTCCTTCTTTGGTCCAACGATTCATGGTTAAGCACAATCCGCAACAACGGTCATCTCCACTTCTGAAATTGCAAATCAAGCAAGATAATGGCTTTTAAGTAGACTATCCAATCCTCATAGCTTTACAAATCTCGCTTTACCTTTCGTGTTCGCATTCGTGCGCTTATGTTAAATTATCTAAATTTGCGCAAAATTTTGTAGCTTTGAAATCTCCCTAGAAGAACTTTAAATGTCTCTCTTTTTCATTTTTGTTTAATTTATTCAAAAATTATATTGAATTTTAGGGGTGTTATACCATGCAACGCTTGCAAGCACTCTTAATTTTTGCGTATTTACCTCTTCAAATCAACTCCTCCTTGTTGAGAAGCTCGTATTTATTAGAGGAAGGGGCAACAACAAAGAAGATTCCGATTGAAACGTGAGTTTATATTCGTAGCTTTGAGCGTAGCTGTCTTCCTTAACTTCAATAAATTTGCCTAACTTATTATTACAAGTAAGTCCCAAGTAATATATAGAAAATTCTCAAACTCCTCAAATAAGTTTTATTATTTTTCTAGGCTTTTGAAAGCTATTAATTTTAGTACTGATAAGTAAAACACTCTGGTCTAGAAGAATTAAAGTTTCTATGAAAAAGGGCTCGAGTAGGGGCAATAGGGGCAAGCTTGTCGCATAACGGCTGTTCGCTTTAGAAACAAGCCCGCAAGCCGCTCAGCAAGCTATTTTGATGTTTTCTCCCTTTGGAAGCTTTGAAAGGGGTTGCTCGAAAGGAAGACACTTTATTGGCTATGGTGGTTAATTAAACGAGAAAAAACCTCATCTATTTAGTGACAATGTTCGTGCACTGGGTCGAGAAATTTTGAGCATTTTTGGGATCGAGGAAGCCGAGGATCTGCATCAAAGAACAAGAAGAGATAAAGGAACAATCCCAAATAATAAGAATGAGAGAAATCCAATGGATGATCGAAGAGACGAAATCGACCAGCCCGCATATTTCAATTCTGAAGCCGCCGATTTCATGAAGACACTTTATGGGCAAATCGATGATGAGAGGTTGTTAGTATACTTAAACGATTAATTCAATTTTCAATCATGATTTTTCAATCAAATATTGGAACGCAAATTGTAAAATGTCTTTTAAATTGATAAAATAATGTTTTTAAATAAAATCTTTCAGAATGCTTGCTCAAAATCATCTGGAGATGCTTAGAAACGCGAATACAATTATGAGTTTTGCACCAAAAAGTAAGTGGGTCAAGAAAAAGCATGAAGAACTATAGAATTTCCTAATGTCTTTGGACACAAATGGAACGGTCATTGGTCTGAACTATCTATCACTGAAAGATCTAGCAACTCAAATCACCTCCTTAAACTCATCTTTGTGCTAGAAATTTTTAAAACTAACCCTTTTTAATGGGCTCTTGTAATGTGCTGCAATATTCATAATACTTCTTTGAGCCGCTTTAGTTCAAGTTTTGTTTATTTGGTGTACCAATGGAATGTCTGGTTTGGCCAATCAGCTAATCAGCTAGAATTTCATGAAGCTTGTATCTTTCTAACAGATCTTATCTTAATATCTTATTCAGGTCTGATAGATATTATCTTAAGCTATGGAATTCTTGAGTCTTGAGCTATGGAATTTTAAATATTTCATTGAAACCGGATCTTATATCTTATCTTATTCAGATCTTGGGCTATCGAATTTCATTAAATATCCTCTCATCTTTAAAATCTTTTCCAGAAACGTTTTCAATTGGCGATTATACAGGGATTTCTTTTAATGTCTTGGATTTCGCGGAAATTCTCCCGCAATACGCCGAGATTCGCTTGCGATTTGCGCACGCTTTTGATGGAGAAATATTACTGTTCACAAAAAAGTAAGAAAAATCGATTGACTTTTCATTGAAAAGGTTTTTCGTGTTTTCGATGAAAAACAGAAAAATAGAACATTTTTATACTTTTCAGAAACGGTGAACTCGTCGAGCACTCTTCAGAATCGATTTCAAAAGAAAAAGCCAAAATATCTCTAAATATCACTAAAGTATCTCACTCTTGGATCACTGATAATCAGCCTGAAATCTTTGTGAAACTTTTAGACGCGAAAGGGGGTCAGTGAACTACCTGCAACAATGGTCTAACCGGTTACTCTTGTCTCTAGATCTAAGCAACGCGGGCTCGACCCCCGCGAAGAGCAATGAATCCTGTTAAGATTAGTCTCATTTTTTCGATTGAAGAAACTCTTTGTAACTGAGCTCTTTTTAACATTACCTTTAGTGATTTTCGCTCAAGATTTCTCCATATTCGGCATTGTTTCTTACGAGGGAATTTCACCAAAAAGTGTTCCACAGAGAAAGTGAATAAAAGACAAAAAAGTTGACCTTAAAATCAAATTTAGAAAAAGATCCACTTCAGACGAGTCGTCAAAGGGTGGAAATGTTCCGGTGAATTTCGATCCACTTTTCGCAGAAACTGAAGGTAGGAGAAGAAGATTTTACTTAAAGTTTAAACCTTCCTAAAAGCTGTATTATCTATTTTTATTTAGTGAATGAAAAGGGCTGTCGTCGCAAGGGTCTTTACGTGAATTTCAATGATCTTGGATGGCAAGTGAGAGAGACATTTTTTTAGAACTGTTTTGAAACACTTATGTTAGAGTAATTTATAATATAATAGTATAAGTAAATTAGCTTAGCCTACAGTTTCAACATTATAACTTCAAAAGAGCTTCTAAAAACTTCTTTCCAGGATTGGGTGATCGCGCCTGAGGGCTTTCAATTATTTCTTTGTGACGGTGGTTGCTCTTTTCCATTGCACAGCAAAATGAATGCAACAAATCATGCGATTGGTCAGATTTTTGATTTTATAAGTTCATAAGTAGTTGTTGGTGTAAAGATATCCCAATTACAGATGCGGGCGCTGAAGCTAGCCTTGCTTAAAGCTAGCGACTAGCTAGAGACATTAACCGTTAGTCCATGCAAACAAGTACCTCACGCCATAGGATAAGCTTTTCAAGATGGTCAAGTTGATCTAAACTACCTTTGTCAATCTCGCAGAGTCTTATTAATCTGCACGGTCAGAAATCAGACTAGGATCTGATTTCCTGGTCAGAAAAAAAACCCAGTTGATTCCTTGATTCCAATTAGTAGATTGCAATTAAAAACCCATTACTTAAAAAACTTGTGTTTACGAACAAGAACTTTCAAACGAATTTCCAGTGCAAACCCTCGTCCATCTCTTACATCCACAACGTGCTCTACCACCGCGTTGTGCTCCTTCAAAACTCTCTCAACAAAAAATCATTTTCATTGATGATTCGGAGAATGTTGTCCTTAAACGATACCAAGATATGATTGTTCTAGAGTGTGGTTGTCAATGAAAACAAACTAAATTGATTTCTGAGCAATAAACCGCTGACATTACTTCTTCTACACGGTTTCCTATAAAAGTTGAGTTTGGTTGGAATTGCCACCTTTTGTATCTTTCTATCTTTCTATATCTTCCTATCTTCCTATCTTCCTATCTTTCTCTCTTTCCGTATCTTTCTATCTTTTCCGCTTCTATCTTTCTTCTTTCTATATCTTTATATCTTGCTAGATTTCTATATCTTTCTATCATTCTATCTTCCTATCTTTCTACTTTTTATCTTTCTATTTCTTTATATCTTTCTATCTGTCCATCTTTCTATATCTTTCTACCTGTCTATTTTTCTATCTTTCCATACCCTAAAGGTCAAAAAGGATATGGCTAAGTGATTTTTCTAATTTTCTAGAGGTTTTTTTATGATAAACTTGCTTTGACCAATATTTACTTCCTAATTTTTAAATCCATTGGTTAAAAAAGTTTATCGAAATCGGTTCATGTGGAGCCGAGATCCCGAGTGTGACGGACAGACAGCCGGACGGACAGACAAACGGACACTTCTCTTTTATATATAATAGATTTCTTTGACTTGAATTACTATTACAAGTATCCAAAATATATTAAACATCAAAAACTCGCTCTATGCGAGGACAAGGAGCCCATTTTTCTGTGGAAAATCTTTCTGCGCGACACACTAAAAGATTTTTAGTTTTTTTACTTTTAAAATACTAAGCTGAAACTTGATTCAATTTTAATTTTAAAGTTAACAAATCTTAAAATATCTCTTATACAAACTCTATAAGAAGGACTGCAAAAGTTGATCGTTGATTATCTTTAAAGATTTAGATCATTTTTTTGCATTTTGCTTTTTTTGACCTAAAGCTCCTTTTTACAATATTTTAGTTAAGTGTGTGTTTTTAAAAACTACCATAATAAACATTTGATTCTTTTCATCGAAGAAATCAAATATTTTCCGAGTAAAATTGAAAAACAAGCTGGTTTTTCTCAAATGGTAAAAGTCAAATGACTAGCATTTCATTGAGAAATGGAAAAAGGATCCTTTAAAGATCAGCCCTTCCGGATTCTTTTTCTTCAACAAGCACGCACCACTTGTTGTCCGATTCCTCGAGACTTGAGGTCGTTGTCCCACTTCGTACCTCTGAAACGGAATCTTGCTTTATCACAGGAAAAATCTGGAATTTATCAATTCAGGAAAAGCTTTATTGCCCCGAAATGTAGCGGAACTGGACGATCATCGATCGAATCGCGAGGCGGAGACCTGGACGAATTTGGCGAATCGGGCCAATCTTTAACGAGTTTTTAGAGGCTATTTCTGCCAACGGCTCTGCCAATAGTTCAAAAGAGAACAATAATTGAATGGAAAATGGGAAATTGAGCTATTTTGAATTATTGATTGGGTTTGTTGGCAGAAAAAATACGTGCGACCAAATGTT